AAAGATAAAAGGGAGTTTTATTGCTTACATGCTATTTGAAAATAATCTTTTTAAATGACTTGTGATTTAATTTCATGAAAACATGGAAAAACCCTCTAACTAACCATGGCCATCCAGCATTGTGACTAAAGTGCTTTCAGTGTTCACCCACTCACTCACTGTTCACACACACAGGCACATTAAGTCAAGAGCGGATGTAGCGCACAGGGGCCATCTCAACAGCTACCGGGATCACATCTTTAGAAGCCCAGTAAGCAACTGTTTTCCTTCCCTGTAACGCTTGCTAGGGGCTTATATGAAAAAAACACCACTCATGCATGCCTGACTGCCTCAAGACTTTCTCGGTACTCTTCCAGTCTCCTTTGTTGGGGATGTCTTTTTTCAATCCTCTTATCCCTACCTAATAAAATCCTATTTTATTTCTCAAGGTCCTAGTACTTTGTTTGATTCATAACATAATTACTTCTCTGTTATAATGTCAATTATTTTTCCCAGCTGATTACTACTTGCAAGAGGATGGGGCATTTTATGGCCAGGACATCAGCTACTCAACTAGCCTCTGATCTAGCCTCTGTTTCACATAAGGTAGAAGTTTCTTAAAATGCTTTGACTGAGTTCATTCAGGCAACTCGCTTATGAGTTGACTTTTCCTAGGTATTTTCAAAGCTAAAGAATCACTAAGGAGATGATGCAAAGAGGATTAAAATCTTAGATGACTGGATTAGACTGCCTTTTCTTAGTTTGTAAATAGCATTCTTTTCTTTTTATTTTTCATTGAAGCAACACTATTTTAATACTATAATAATTTCAGGTAGACAGCATTATGAATCATTATAAATCAAAATACATTGAGTTCACCAATAAAAGTCCAATTCTATCTTTCCCCCTAACAGTTGACTCCTTTTACCTGATGGACCCACCACATCCCTCTCTCCTGCCTTTATGGTAACCACTATTTGGTTACCCAGTCTAAAAGTTCAGTTTTGTTTCATTTAGTTCATTCATTTGGTTACTTTTCCTTTGGTTAATTAAGGTGCAATCTAGCCACTTGCAACAATATGGATGGTCCTGGAGGGTAAGTATTGTCTCCCTAAAGAAAGCCAATTCAGAATTTCTCAGTGAAAGGCAGATTTAAAATTTTTATACTACTGGGTTTCTCTCATTTTTTTGTCTGTATCATCTCATGAATAAGAACTAGCACCTAAAGTCGGTGACTGAACCACTCTACTTAAAGTAACATCAAGAAACAGACAGAAAATATGTATGAATTGTTAGAGATCACAAGCTCTGTATGAGGAGACTGGAGTCAAGGGGAGTCAGAGAGATTCAAGAGAAGAATCTTTAGTCAGGGAGTGAAGAACTCCTGACTAAAGAAGCATGATAGTAAAAGGTCAGAGAGAAGCACTTCCATGTTAAGAAAAACAAAAACAGGAAAGGAATGGGGGGGGGGGCAACAGAAAGAAACATGGTGTACCACTGCAGATGAGAGAACGGTGGGACTGAAGTCAGGCCTATACTGGGGATATTAAGAAATGCTATTTGTCCAACAAAATTGGGTCAGATAACCGGGAAGTCCCTGAAAATGTAGAAGAGAAACAGCCCAACGATCCTTATAAGGTTTAGAAGATGAAAGAAAAGGATGGAAAAGACTGTGGTGGTGCCAAGAACCGAGTCAAGGAAGTTAGGAAGACATGCAAAGTAGTTTTAGACAAGGAGAATATGAAGTAAGAAGACATTCAAGTGCAATATCCAGGAGCAGATAGGTTACCAGACAGAAGTCCAGAGAAGGAAAAGAATCCAAATTAGAGACCTAAGAGCTTTCTATAGATAAAGGAAAGTCTGTCCTAGAATGAGAAGGGAAGAAGTTGCATAAGAGCCCAAAACTGATGAACAATTGAGCCTCAGGTCTACTTCCAAGCTAGGAGTTCACAAGAATATGTTCAAAATGAAAGGATAGAAAGGGTGCAGTGTTGGTGGTAAAAGTTCAAAATCCAATAATTTCACAGGAAACATTAAAGGAGTTTTGAAAAGGAATGGGTAATAAATGATGATGAATAAGGGCCAGAGTATATAAAAGGTATACTACTTACAAATACAGAGGAAAGCTATTATTTATGTAGTCAAAAATCCTTATTGAAAATGAAAGACAATTCTGCCAATAGGGATTGATTTTGAGGAATGTCATTAAGACTCTATACTCTTCTGGGAGCTATTTTGTTATATAATAGGATAACAGTGCAGCTGTTAATTATTAGACGTATTACTGTCGGTGTGTGGGTAACATACTAAAGTGTGCAAGTCCTGACAAAAGTTAAAATAAATATCCAAAAGCATTTAAAACTGAAATAGGGACTGTTAAATAACTATGGGATACTGCTAAACAAACAGAGATGATGGGTTTTTGAGTTCTCAGGAACACTTGGGAAGCAATCCCTCCCACCTGCTTGCAAAACACCTAGTCTGCATCCAAAGTTCAATCTTAAGTCAGCCTCCATTTCTGCTTATGAGACATAGACATCTGGGTAGGTACCACGGTCAGAAAGCAATGTTTCTGGTCAGTTTTGGTATTCAAATCACTCCAACCTGATAAAGATGCCATTAGAATTCCTACCATGCCTTTTCCGCTGGTACTGATGGACTGAAAGTTGGCTTCTTAAATAGGAGAGTGAACTACTATGCAAGAAATGCCTTTATTGGCCCTCCCTGGTGGCACAGCGGGTTAAAGCACAGCACTAAGAAGCTTAAGCCAATTCCGCATGAGTTCGATCCCAGCCTGCCTCGGAGGAGATCCACATGGCGGCAGACCTCTCCTGACCCGCCCGCTGCTCCCCTCAGCAGTGTCCTTCATCCATCTGCCTGTTCTGCTCCCCACTCTGTTCCTGGTGAATCCTCTCACCCTCTGCATCTCTGGCCTATACCCCAGTTCTGTATGAATAAATAAATAAATCTTAAAAAAAAAAGAAATGCCTTTATTTCCCCCAAATGAAAATGAACATTGAAAGTGACCATGCAAGATCTAGGTGTGAAGTTAATATAATTTGGGTACCCTCTTTTTAAAAAAAATGTAAAATTATGAGTAAGATTCAGTATGGACCTGGTTATTTATTGAGAATAAGAACCAGAAGGGACTTACTGTTGTAAGGCCATAAAACATAAAGTTAATCAGTTACCAAGTAAATCCACCTCTGGTTACAATCGAGTACTGGGAGGAAAATGTAGAAAGGGAGAAAGAGCAAGTGATCAGGCATAAGAACAATAAAGGATAAATCATCCCTTAAAGAAAACTGGACCACAGTATAAAGAAAGGAATAAAATCGTAGAAAGGACACTGAATTGTGAAATATGGGAGAAGGAAATTCATATAACACATCATCATTTTATTTTCCACTGATTTATAATAGCATCACTTCTAGGAGCTTTTCTAGGGCTAGGTTTTAGAGACATCACCCTACTTCATTGTGAGCACTGCACACAAATGTTTGGTGAACGAATGAATAAGTGAATGATGGGAAATACTTCCATTCCTTACTCTCCACCAGGATCTGCCTTCCTCTAATGCTCCAAGGTACATGCATGTTTTTGCTGGCACTGGCTGTAGTTGTCAAAACAACAGCTCTTGACAGTCTCTTCTCTGGTGATTAAGTCTGTTTATCCTCAACAGGCCAATCTATCTTCACCCAAAATTAATGTGTAAGCATGTACAGTCTCCTCAAAAGAACTGTATATAGCAATGGGTACCTACTTTCTGACTCCCACTTTCTTCCTCCTGCAGATATATTTCAGGAATTATTAACACCCTCCCGGGCCAAAGACAGATTAGTGTAGAATTCTAACGAGGGCTGAAACAGAAGTCCTAAATTTCAAACATTTCCTCAACTATGACAAACAGGTGACAATTTGATATGGATTAGGATGAGGTTCCTGGAAAACCGCAAGCACCATTCAAAAGGTCAACTAAACTTCCAGGTCAGGACCTGGGGAAAACCCAGGCTGGCCAGGTCACAGGACAAGATTCAGGCTGTGAAAGGGATTCGCTTTGGGCAACAAATGCCCTACACCTTGGACTGTTAAATAACTATGGGATACTGCTAAACAAACAGAGATGATGGGTTTTTGAGTTCTCAGAACACTTGGGAAGCAATCCCTCCCACCTGCT